AGGAGGCTGATGCGGCCATTGGTGGTGGCGAGTTTCGGATGATCGTGGATGCAAGTACAGGTCATTGACTCATGATCCGACGAAGTCCGAGGTAGATCAGTGGCTGGCTAGTAGTAGGGGTGAGCCAAACCAAGCACCGATTGGCAACTTGGAAAACCCATTCAAAGTTCAAACAAATCCAGACGTGTGTGAATGTTCAACATCAACACCGAGGCTGTCTGCTATGGTCTTGGTTAACTGGAGGTAGGTTTGCAACTGGCTGACCTACCGATGATGATAGCAACGGTGATGGCGGACATGGATGGCAGACTGATCAGATGGCTGGCAACAAAGTCATCACATCTGTGCCGTGCGCACTGGTACATACCGGGATAGTGTGAGTGTGTGGGACTGGCGAGAACAGTGTTCGTTACGAGTAGAGGCTTACAACAATGAACTGGTAACGACGGTGTTGGTGAAGGGAACGGCCGATATCTCCAACCTAACCTGGCGGCCGTACAAAGGCAGCATCATGAAGGCCAGCTTGCCTGACGAGTTCATCACCGCTCGGTATCCTGAACCGTTCCAGAAATGAGTGATGATAATGATGATGGAAGCACGGACAGGTGGCCAATGCCAAGCTGAAAGACATGTTTTCACCACTGAACGGCCTGGTCCAGAACGGAAAGGGCCAGCGTGTACGGTTGATTCATGCAGTGAGTGGTGTAAGCACTGCACAGTTGCATCTACAAATCTAGTTGTGTCAGGGTATCTTCACAAAGACGGAAGGAGAATGTGGGAAAGGGTTAAATTTGGGGAAGAAGTTTGGAGGGTGCCCGTGGCATGTGACTGATGGCGATTGTGGACTGCAAAATAACCTGTGTTGGTTGCAATATCCATTTCATTCCTAACACTCCACGCATAATGTCCACTACATTGTGAGAAAAATGCTATCCCTGCAAGGAACTGGTGGGGGTTGCATTTCACATTTGTCTTTTTCAGTATTTCGGGGTTGCCTCTCACGGAAATAAAATCTGAAGTAGGAAAGCCGCTCTCTCTCTCTCTCTCTCTCTCTCTCTCTCTCTTTCTCTCTCTCTCTCTCTCTCTCTCTCTCTCTCTCTCTCTCTCTCTCTCACACACACACACACACACACACACATTCTCTCTCTCCCTCCCTCTCTCCCTCTCTCTCTCTTTCTCTCTCTCTCTCTCTCTCTCTCTCTCTCTCTCTCTCTCTCTCTCTCTCTCTCTCTCTCTCTCTCTCTCTCTCTCTCTCTCTCTCTCCCTCTTTTGCTTTGTGTTTCTCTAGGGCACTTCACATTCCCTTATGGTATAAACACATCCACAAGGTTCACCACGAGTGGACTGCGCCGATCAGCATCTCTGTCCTGTACTGTCACCCGGTCGAGCATTTCCTCTCAAAGATATTACCGGTAATGGCTGGTCCCGTCCTGCTCGGCTCTCACTGTATGCTGCTGCTGCTGTGGGCCTGTATCTCGCTGGCCTCCGTGTCCGTCGAACACTGCGGCTTCCACCTGCCGTTCATGCCGTCCAACGAGTACCACGACTACTATCATGAAAAGTTAGTAGTGTAGTGTATGCATTCTGCATTGATTGGTAGCTGTACTAATACCTTGCACATACATGGGAGGCGGTGAACGCAAAAATCTGACTTGACCCCCCCCCCCCCCCTCCCCAATGTTCTGACTGCATGTATAAAGCCACTTGCTAACTTTTCGAAATTTGCACAGAGAAGAATACAGTCGTGGCCAAAAAATCCGGCTTATGTTATACCAGCTACCGGTAGCTGTACTGTGCATGGGCAGCATGCACTGCCACTGCTACCGGTAGCTGTACTGTGCAAGGGCAGCATGCACTGCCACTGCTACCAGTAGCTGTACTGTGCATGGGCAGCATGCCCTGCCACTGCTACGGTAGCTGTACTGTGCATGGGCAGCATGCACTGCCACTGCTACCAGTAGCTGTTCTGTGCATGGGTAGCATGCACTGCCACTGCTACCGGTAGCTGTACTGTGCATGGGTAGCATGCACTGCCACTGCTACTGGTAGCTGTACTGTGCATGGGCAGCATGCACTGCCACTGCTACCGGTAGCTGTACTGTGCATGGGTAGCATGCACTGCCACTGCTACTGGTAGCTGTACTGTGCCAGGCCTGCTCGTCGAGGATTCGATAGTTTTAGGGAGCGTTCGAATTGTCTCCATCAACTGTTCGAACAAATTTTTTAAAGAGATTAGTTGAGTGTCCCATTACGGCATTAGAACGGTTTCTATCATTTTAGAGTTTTTCAGTGGAATGGTCATGGCGATGATGACATCCGATCAGATCGACCATCTCCACGTCCTACGTGACGTAGCTATTCCAAACTCTTCGGAACCAATCCACCTCTCCCATCGGATGAGGTTGTGGAGTTTCGAGGAGCTTCGTTTTTCTGAAGAGGCCAAGAAGGCCACCTCTTCAGAAAAACGAAACTCCTCGAAAAGTCCAAGAGTGACAATTCGAAAGCGCCCTTAAAGGGGAAGTATACCCTAAAATCAAATTTTCACCAGTTGTAGTCTTCGGGGTGCTGAGTCGAATGGTCTTGGTCCGAGGAAGCTGAGACGCTCCCTTCCTACTTGAATCCCAATCGAACTCGCGCACTTCCACCGAAACTGGGTGACTGCGCCCTACTAGATGGGGATTTGTATGCAAAATGTCACTAAAAGCGCCATTTCGTTCTTATAAAAGCACGGATGACCGCGATTGGCCCATATGTCGTAGTCTTTTGGACGCTGAGTCGACTGGTTTTGGTCCGAAAAGGCTGCGATGTAGCGTTCTTCCTTTATTCCCAATCGAACATGGTTGAACAAGCGGTCACGTGCTTCTGCGTACACCAGTCACCTGGTCACCGTGCCTGCAGGGTACAACTTACTAGCCTGTTTGACCTTTTTTGGGTGCACTCCTGTCACTCGAGTTGAACTCGAGTTGAACCTTGGTGTGAAATTTGTCGCCTGCTGGCGTGGTGACGAGGTGATTTGGGCACCCAGGAGCACGTGACCGCTTGTTCAACCATGTTCGATTGGGAATAAAGGAGGAACGCTGCATCGCAGCCTTTTCGGACCAAAACCAGTCGACTCAGCGTCCAAAAGACTACAACATATGGGCCAATCGCGGTCATCCGTGCTTTTATAAGAACGAAATGGCGCTTTTAGTGACATTTTGCATACAAATCCCCATCTAGTAGGGCGCAGTCACCCAGTTTCGGTGGAAGTGCGCGAGTTCGATTGGGATTCAAGTAGGAAGGGAGCGTCGCAGCTTCCTCGGACCAAGACCATTCGACTCAGCACCCAGAAGACTACAACTGGTGAAATTATTTGATTTTAGGGTATACTTCCCCTTTAAAATGCTCCGCTCGCCTCTGTTGTGTGTGTGACCGATTGTACATGATTGTATGTCCCACCCACTCCGACATCTCCGACATCTCCCTTGGAGTTAGTTAGTTGTGGAGCTGAAAGGCCATCATTGGTCTCTTGCACAACTTTGACGGCTTGCAGGTTTCGTTCGGGGACAGCGCTGAGCCGATGAGGTTACAACCATGAAAGCAATCATTCTAAAAGCCTGAGGCTGAGGCCTGAGGGGCCGAGGATGAACAACAATTTAAAAAAAGTCCTTCTTTCGGTATGGAGTCGGTCCGATGTCTACTCTAGTAGTAGTAGTACACTCGAAAATCTCATTTCCGCTCAGCAGGTGTGCACGTGTGTGAACGGACAGGCGCTAGGCCGACACGTAGATCTACGTCCGGCATAGTCGGCGACGTGCTGACAAACTAAAAAAACTCCTTTCCTCTGTTGCAATGCATCGTCATCGGTCTGACAGAAATTCACGATCGGACTGGCTGCAAAGTAGCACACTCGAAGTAGAAACAGCGGCTGGGTTTTTAGGCAGCGAGACCGCTTTGGAGCGTCGAGATTTTGATTGCTGTCTCTGTGGTACATGGTTGGCTTTCCGCAATCATTGGGCTTTGGCCGTTTCGGCTTCTTGCTCGGTGTGTCGGTGGGAGAGTGATTTGGAGAAAAGCGCGGCATGAGCATCAGTTCGGTTAGGGAGATCATGTCAGTCTTGACAGCGGCACGGTGGTCGTCTTCGGGACCTCCAGTCTCCTTATCACTGGGCTGCCATTTAGAATTCTCTGCATCGGTAAGCACCTGTTGCTAGCTGAGTTAGTCCGTAATGATCAGGTACCGGTATTCTGGTTTTTTTTTTAAATTATTTCAACTCATTTCTCTCCCGCATAATAATGCTATGGGCGAGCGTCATCTTCAAGTTTTGGTGATGGCGATAGTGGGGCTAGCCTAGTTTTGGTGGTCTGTGTCGTGATAGCACTCATTTCTCGTGTCGCGTCGATATGTCGTGAGAGAAAAGTAGAATCTACCGCTACTAATCGTTCACGGTAGAAAAGAACCGGCATGATCTACTGACTTGAAAGGTGTCTACCGCCACGTACTTGGAGATGGAAAACGAGCGCCCCTTACTTTTGGGGGAGGGGGTGCAGCGTGACTGCACCCCAGCCCCTTATACTAGCAGACTGCTCAGGAGACGCTCAGGGATCTGACACCTAGCTCTAACACGTACTCTCCAATGCGATAATTAAAGGTTCGCGGTTGTAGTAGGACACAAGACGTCACGAGAAACCATCATGGTGCAAACGCCAGCTCCCGCTGGAAATCACAGGGAGGCACACAGCGATGGCAGGCGAAGCAGTGGAGGCGGGGCAGAAGCAGCTAAACCGACCAAGGGTCTCCGTATCAACATTGCTAATGCGGGTCAGGCGGAGAAGAAAACACCGGAGTCTATAGTGTTTTTATATGAAAGCAAAAAAAAGCAGGAGAACGAGCTAGTACTTTAGAAGTCTGCTTTATTAGTCTCTGTGTAGGCTCCCCCTACGAACTCCTACTAGTCCTTTCTGTCTGCCTTCGTTTGTGTACCCCCCCCCCCCCAGCCCCCTGTCTGTTACCCTCCACTAGTTCTGGTCTCACAGTAGACTATCCCGGTATCATGAAACATGGAAATCGAAACACTGATGTTTGCAGCTCACCCAGGGGCTCTGTGATCATGACACTTTGATGGAGTCCGTTGTCTTATCATGCACCGCGTACCACGTGTGTTGTGTCTGTTTTCCGCAGGCCTCTGACAGAACTCTGGGATGCATCGAGTCAGTTCTGGCAGCACAGATGGAACCAGCTCTATCACGTGTGGCAGGAGGCAACGAGTTCCTTCTATCCAGCCGTGAGTGGGTTTTTAAGAACACGACGGGCCAGGGTGCTCGCCAAAGCGACATAGCGGGGCGCTGCGCCCTCCTTCACTTTTGGACCGCCCCCTTTCAAAATGAATGCACTGCCCTTCACTTCAGAGAGCGAGCGCCCCACCTTCTTATATGCATGATGAGGACACATCACATACATATAATTATAGTCAAACCTCTTTAGGACGAACACCAAGGGACCGACGGGATTTGTTCGCAATAACGGGAGTTATTCTTATCCATATCTTATCAGTGTCTGCTCTAGGATTGTAGGACAGCCGGGTACACGTGTAACTGGCGCAACCATTTCAACCGGGTCGGAACCGGGTACACATGCCCAATGATATAAAGGCAAATGGATAAGCCGCATTTAGAAAAGAGAGGACAGGAATTAGAAAATTACGAAAGAAGAAGTATCTGACACATACAAGCCATGTAGTCAGTCCTTTCAAAGTTCGAAAGTGTAAAGTACCAACCGGGTCACAGGTGACCCGGTACTATATTTTCAACCGGGTCCAAGCGCCGCCCAACCGGGTGGATTACCCGGCTCACCCGGCGCTGGAGCAGACACTGTCTTATACCCAGTGAATACACCGTGATTTATCCAATAGAGTTACAAATACTAGTTCTTCTTTTAAAGCGAAAGTTTGTTTTATCAGTGTTCTTCTCAACGAGGTTTCACTGTACATGTAGTAGCACAGCATTGTATGAGTCATTGTATGAGTCGTTGTATGAGTCATTGTATGAGTCATTGTATGAGTCATTGTATGAGTCATTGTATGAGTCATTGTTAGGCTTGTCCACAAAATGTTTTCAATTATTTTTGAATTTTGGTTGGATTTTCGCACTTTGAAATTTTTTGGAATTTGGCCCCATCAGGATTGAATTTTGGCCGTTTTGGAGAACGACAGTGATGTCACATCAGGAGAGTACATGTGCTGCTCAATATATTACCAAGTTTGACATGTGAAAACAGTACTTTCAAATACACACACCTTTGACCTTTGCCTTTTTGACACCCATCCCCGAATTCGGAAGCACACAGACACACATGATAAGAAGTTTGTGGATTTTTTGTTTTTTTTGGAACTATTGGGTACGAGTACTGTAAAAACCATGGCAACGGATCGAATTTTTTCTGCATTTTGGGGGATTTTTTGAATTTTCTTAAAACATTTTGACCGTTTTTTTCGCTTTTTGACTTTCGATTTTGGACGAAATAATTCGCATGATGTGGCCACCCTTAGTCATTGTATGAGTCATTGTATGAGTCATTGCATGAGTCATTGCATGAGTCATTGTATGAGTCATTGTATGAGTCATTGTATGAGTCATTGTATCATAGTCATCACTTACCTCTGAAAACCATAATTATTATCAATGGCGGGTTCCAGTGGCCGGTGAATAAATACATGGGATGGTCGGTTGCTTTACTGGTGTTGGTGAAAGCAGCGGCCAAAATGACGACACAAAATGGCGGTGAAATCACAAAATGTTGGGTCCTATAATGATCCCCCCCCCCATCACTTTTGTTCTGGCTATAACGTTGCGGGCATATTCCCATTCTGACCCAATGATACATGTATCAAAAATAAATAAACGTGATAACATAATAACATTTTGTCCTTCTCCCTTTTCACCATAAATAAACATGACAGTGCAATAACACCCTTTTTGAAGGCCCTAAGAGAAAAATGACCTTTGGCAGGTCTGGAGTAGTGTACTTTATACTGAACTGTACTGCAGCCAGTTATACTCTCCTAACCATGGTGTAGAGGAGGACTTTACTTTGAAATGTATTTCCCTGTATGGTGGCTAGTTTTATGACGGCGGTTCTAGTCGACTCAGCATGGCAGCTTTTTCTCGGTCGTTTTTCTGACTGATGCAGCCGGTACTGAGATATCTCTTCCAGCATGGTTCAGCTGAGCTCAGTCCTACTGGCAAAAGCTGGAACAGCGTTACGACATCAAATAGTCAGTGCAGGCAAAGAAAAGAAGATATACCTGCTCAATACCTGCTCAAGTACTTAGTAATTAGACTCGGACATTTTCTCGTGACTATCACAAGTGTAAGGATCACCGGATCACACACGCGAACAGCCACGGTCACAAAAGGACGAAGGTCAATAACTCTTAGTCTCAAGTCGAGATTCGTTGGAAAGAGAAAGAGTAAGTGTCCAAGTCAGAGCTTATCAAGGGCCTGGGTAGCTATGGAAATGAATGTACTAGAGCGCGAATCCAGCTACCCAGGCCAACGGAAGAAAAGGTTAGAAAAGGGAACAAAGGTGAGTACGAGAGTGTAAAGGTGAGTATGAGAGTAAAGGTGAGTACGAGTCTGTGAGTGCGTACGAGTGTGCGAGAGCGTACGAGTGTGCGAGTGCGTGCATATGTGAGATCGTGAACCTAACACAAGTGGAACATGGTCACATGGTAAGGATCACTAAAACAACCAGTTATGTAGCTAGAATAATACTGATCACGAGTAGCGTGGGAATGTAGCAGCTCGCGGCTACACACAGCGTCATTTACACATGAGCAGTATGGGCTTATGCAGTGAATGTGAAAATGGTTGTGTAACCGTTGCGGCATCTGGCATTGGATCTGTTTTAAAACCATTGTACAAGTAATGGTGACTGTGTTTGGTGCTATCGGGTGTGTGTTGCAGTTCTATGGAGTTCCATGGTCGCCTTCTACTGGTTGTTCAATGCATTCTTCATCTTCGTGGAGCTGACTGGAACCCCTTCGAGCATCTTGCAATATCGTATCCAGCCTAAAAAGAAGCCAGCTGTGGTCAGTTATGCTATTCTATGCGCCAGACGTTCTTTTCGGTGTGCCGCTCGGTAGTGACAGTGTGTGTGTGTGTGTGTGTGTGTGTGTGTATGAGCGCGCGCATGTGCGTACGTGTGTGCGTGTGTGTGTGTGTGCGTGTGTGCGTGTGTGTATGAGCGCGCACATGTGTGTATGTGCATGTGTGTATGAGCACGCACATGTGTGTATGCGCATGTGTGTGTGTGTGTGTGTGTGTGTGTGTGTGTGTGTGTGTGTGTGTGTGTGTGTGTGTGTGTGTGTGTGTGTGTGTGTGTGTGTGTGTGTGTGTGTGTGTGTGTGTGTGTGTGTGTGTGTGTGTGTGTGTGTGTGTGTGTGTGTGTGTGTGTGTGTGTGTGTGTGTGTGTGTGTGTGTGTGTGTGTGTGTGTGTGTGTGTGTGTGTGTGTGTGTGTGTGTGTGTGTGTGTGTGTGTGTGTGTGTGTGTGTGTGTGTGTGTGTGTGTGTGTGTGTGTGTGTGTGTGTGTGTGTGTGTGTGTGTGTGTGTGTGTGTGTGTGTGTGTGTGTGTGTGTGTGTGTGTGTGTGTGTGTGTGTGTGTGTGTGTGTGTGTGTGTGTGTGTGTGTGTGTGTGTGTGTGTGTGTGTGTGTGTGTGTGTGTGTGTGTGTGTGTGTGTGTGTGTGTGTGTGTGTGTGTGTGTGTGTGTGTGTGTGTGTGTGTGTGTGTGTGTGTGTGTGTGTGTGTGTGTGTGTGTGTGTGTGTGTGTGTGTGTGTGTGTGTGTGTGTGTGTGTGTGTGTGTGTGTGTGTGTGTGTGTGTGTGTGTGTGTGTGTGTGTGTGTGTGTGTGTGTGTGTGTGTGTGTGTGTGTGTGTGTGTGTGTGTGTGTGTGTGTGTGTGTGTGTGTGTGTGTGTGTGTGTGTGTGTGTGTGTGTGTGTGTGTGTGTGTGTGTGTGTGTGTGTGTGTGTGTGTGTGTGTGTGTGTGTGTGTGTGTGTGTGTGTGTGTGTGTGTGTGTGTGTGTGTGTGTGTGTGTGTGTGTGTGTGTGTGTGTGTGTGTGTGTGTGTGTGTGTGTGTGTGTGTGTGTGTGTGTGTGTGTGTGTGTGTGTGTGTGTGTGTGTGTGTGTGTGTGTGTGTGTGTGTGTGTGTGTGTGTGTGTGTGTGTGTGTGTGTGTGTGTGTGTGTGTGTGTGTGTGTGTGTGTGTGTGTGTGTGTGTGTGTGTGTGTGTGTGTGTGTGTGTGTGTGTGTGTGTGTGTGTGTGTGTGTGTGTGTGTGTGTGTGTGTGTGTGTGTGTGTGTGTGTGTGTGTGTGTGTGTGTGTGTGTGTGTGTGTGTGTGTGTGTGTGTGTGTGTGTGTGTGTGTGTGTGTGTGTGTGTGTGTGTGTGTGTGTGTGTGTGTGTGTGTGTGTGTGTGTGTGTGTGTGTGTGTGTGTGTGTGTGTGTGTGTGTGTGTGTGTGTGTGTGTGTGTGTGTGTGTGTGTGTGTGTGTGTGTGTGTGTGTGTGTGTGTGTGTGTGTGTGTGTGTGTGTGTGTGTGTGTGTGTGTGTGTGTGTGTGTGTGTGTGTGTGTGTGTGTGTGTGTGTGTGTGTGTGTGTGTGTGTGTGTGTGTGTGTGTGTGTGTGTGTGTGTGTGTGTGTGTGTGTGTGTGTGTGTGTGTGTGTGTGTGTGTGTGTGTGTGTGTGTGTGTGTGTGTGTGTGTGTGTGTGTGTGTGTGTGTGTGTGTGTGTGTGTGTGTGTGTGTGTGTGTGGTATGTGCAGTCGATTTCCAATCGAGAGGTTGCGGGTTCAATTCCCGACGATTATGGTCGCACACGTCTTTCTTCTCTTTCTCGGTCTCTTCCTGACTTTTCTTTCATTCTCCTGGGTGGTTACCAACAGCCAGTGTATGCCGGAGTATGTGGTGTGGTGTGTGTGTAGAAAAAAAAAGAAAAAAGAAAAAAAGAAAAAAAGAAAAAAATGGAAAAATGAAAAATAGGGATTCACTGGCCAGAAAAAGTCACTTCAATCAGCTGTGTGGTGGATACCAGGCTAAAAATAGTGGCGGTCAATTCATCAGCCTTGCAAGCTGTTGAATAGTGTAATCCCAGCACAAGTTGCTATGTCTAACATAGCTGTTCGCTATCATCGCTTCCGGGATGGGCAGGTCTGAGGTGTGTGTGTGTGTGTGTGTGTGTGTGTGTGTGTGTGTGTGCATGTTAGTGCTGTAGTACATTCTTACGCGTATGTCACGCCGGGTACTTGCTGTTGGTGTATGCGCATGCTGCTTTTGTGCGGAAAGCCCGCCTTCGCCGCTTGATTTCGTAATGTGTAATACCAAGAGTACATAACCCCCAAGAGTGTGCAACTGCCTGCACAACCTCTATGCTGTGCTGCGACGGCAGAACTTCACATCACGTGACATGGTTAAAAAAGGTTACACTGGAAAACAGTGCAAAGTGACCACAAGAGAGTTGTACCCAAAGCTGGGTTGCGTATAGGGCTGAAACGATCGTGGATTTTCACGTATCGATTACTCTTTAGCTTAACGATCGAGTAATCGATTATAATCGTTAGCAAATAGAGTCATAATTCTGTGCAAACATTACTCTGTTTCCACAAACTATGCCTTCATAATACCAACAAGTCTGCATTAGTGAAAGGGTAGCTCCGAAACATGGCAGTTTTGAAGTCAATTTAACCTCAGAACATGAACCATACCCCTGGCAACTGCATACTCCCAGCGGAAACTGATTGAAACTTCACAAAACGAGGGTTTACAGTACTTTCTGGACACAAATTTAAAAAACGCAAAATAATCGTAATCGGTAATCTAAACGATTGCTCGATCGTTAGAGTTATCAAACGAGTCGATTATTCGGTATAATCGTTTCAGCCCTAGTTGCGTACAACCCTGTATCAATCATGCACAGAGTGCAAATAATGTGACGGGTTCATCATGTTATGTGAAGTTCTGCCGTCGCAGACCCCATAGCTGGAGTTGCACACTCTTGGGGGTTATGTACTCTTGGTAATACATGTAATGGCAAATACTCAATCTGCGGACAGAACTGTTTCGTCCTTTGTGGCCTCGTCAGCGCAGCACAGAGGAAATGAGGCCGAACCTGATAGCAATGGAAATAAAAATAATGGCAAATATGTTAGTTATTTTTGGATTAATGTACAGTGCTAGTGCTGACTAGGGACATTTGATCACTTGCTAACGAACTGAGCAGCAGCGAAGGCGCTACGAACGGCTGAGAAGCGAGTGTGCTACGAACGGCTGTTTTAAGGCCCTGTTGAGCCTGGCAGAGAAAGAGCGCCGGCAGTGGTCGCACTTTGCTGGCCTGACGTGTACGTGGCATTAGAAACCAGTAGTCCAAGGTCGGACCCTGTTAGCTCAACTTCTATCAATCCTCGGTCTTTGTGTGTGTGATTCCATACAGGTGGAATGGCAGACGTTCAAGAAGTGTTTGAAGGTTGTCCTCTTAAACCAGTTGGTTGTGGGTTATAGCAGCCAACTTGCACTCTACTGGATCTTCCAAAAGCGCGGCGGATTATTTGCCGAGACCCTGCCGTCCTTCCAGCGGTGCTTGGTGGAGCTGGCAATCTCTATGTTTATCTTTGAGGTGATTTTCTTCTATTCGCACCGGTAAGGAATGATCAGCAGTGAGGTGAAGTTGCCTTGCGTGTTCACAGGAAAATAAGGTGGGGTTCATGTCATGACTTTGTCGAGCCCGCATGATCGAACAATGCTTGCACCGGTGAGATAACATGTCTGTTTATGTGTGTATTTTAGTCTTGACCGTCTTCTATATCTCAGCGGTGTGCCATTACTGTGGGCATGAGTAGTCCTAACACCAGCCGGGATGGCAACACTGCTAGGGGGTGGCTGGTCAGGCCATGCCCGGACTAACTGCTTGGCCACCAGCGCATGTTCACACGTACTACCGAGGAGCCGTTATGTGCCCCTGCCATGTCATACACAGACTGTATGAAAGACTAGGGGCATGATTGATTGGGCGAATCCCGAGCAAGTGTGCTCCGAGTGAGCGTGATCGTTTGGTCGAATCCGATCAAATCCGGAGTAGGTGTACTTGGAGTGGAATCTGACCACACCGGCCCCCACACCGGGAGTGGCCGGAGTGGAAATGGACTTTGCCGTTTTTGGATAGCTTTCACAGAATCTTTGTACGATATGCGTACATTTTGCGTACTACACCCTTGTTTTGTTCGATTGGGCCAGCGTTGCTCGGACCACACCGCCTGCTCGCACTCAATCCAGATTCGCCAATCAATGACACCCCAAGGTATGGCCGGACCAATCACACCGTGACTGTTTCCGCCTGTCCTGTATTGTGGAATTGCGTATTGAACGCCATTTGTTGAGGTGTTGACAGTCTGTAGTTCCCGTATTGCTGTGAGTACATGGGCTGCAGTTCAGCCAGCATACAACTACTCGGATATTTATTTATTTTTATTCCCGTAGCTATGCAGAAGACGTTACTTCAGTAACGTCTGGCGCTAGCCAGGGTCCACACAGCTTTAATTTGGTGTTTGTGTGTTTGTGTGTTTGTGTGTTTGTGTGTTTGTGTCACGCCTGGCGCTATCCATGTCTGACGGCAAAAAAGCATAGGATGTTATAAATTTTTCAATTCTCCTTTTTTTCGGGCATATCCTGGGATTCGAACCCGCACTATCGCCCTACATGCATTCCCCCATACACTTCGCATTCATACCCATTCTTCCAAGTTGCTTTACGTTATTATCTTGCGTTTGAAAGCCCTATTTGAATATTGCGGGCAGCTGTATGTGGCCAGCTGTGTTTGATGGTACGGTACGGTACGGGAGACGGTGTCGTATTACCCTCGATCGTACCTGTCCCGTACCTATCCCCTACCGTACCGTGCCATCAAAGACGGCTGGCCACAATGCATTATTCAAATAGGGCTTTCAAATGCAGGATCACAATGTGAAACAACTTGGAAGAATTAGTATGTATGCTAAGTGTATCGGGGGATGCATGCAGGGCGCGCGATAGTGCGGGTTCGAATCCCAGGTTATGTCTTTAAAAAAAGGATATTTTTAAAGAATTTATAACATCCCTATGCTTTTTTTTGTCTAGGTCATCAAGGCAAAAAAGCGTAGCGTAGGGCCCTGAGCTTCCAAGCTCTCTCGTTTATCGTCTCCACTTCATGGCACATAATAATACATAGCCAATACAAGAAAGGGAGGGTGAATCCAACCACGGAAAATAGCATTAAAAAAAAGAAGAAAAGGAAGGGAGGTGTCACCCTGTGTCAATAGCAGGTAGCACAATACTATTTTGACTGAAATGCATCCTTTTAAAAGCTGAGAGATACGGTGAACAGCGAATATTATAAGAGAGTTTGAGCCAAAATGTGCAAGCCATAGAGACAGGTGATTTGATCATTAGGGACAATTGAGGGGAAGGTAATGATACCTGGTGTCTTGTATTTTCTCTCTGCTGGAACCAATCATATTTCTTGAAGTGCCTGGGGATTTGCTTAAGATAAATAATTTTCTGAACGAGTGCACACAGGTGTGCTTGGCGTCTATCAGCAAGTGGAGAGGAGGCTACGAGACAGTATATATGCTTACTGTTATGCATGAGAGGGATTTTCCAAATAGCCGTTTAAAGGGGAAGTTAAGGCAAACATTAAAATTTCACCAGTTCAAGTGTAGTCTTCGGGGTGCTGAGTCGAATGGTCGTGGTCCGAGGAAGCTGAGACGCTCCCTTCCTACTTGAATCCCAATCGAACTCGCGCACCTCCACCGAAACTGGGTGACTGCGCCCTACTTGTAGATGGGGATTTGTATGCAAAATGTCACTAAAAGCGCCATTTCGTTCTTATAAAAGCACGGATGACCGCGATTGGCCCATATGTTATACTCTTTTGGACGCTGCGTCGACTGGTTTTGGTCCGAAAAGGCTGCGATGCAGCGTTCCTCCTTTATTCCCAATCGAACATGGTTGAACAAGCGGTCACGTGCTCCTGCGTACGCCAGTCACCTGGTCACCGTGCCTGCAGGGTACAACTTACTAGCCTGTTTGACCTTTTTTGGGTGCAGTCCTGTCACTCGAGTTGAACCTTGGTGTGAAAGTTGTCGCCTGCTGGCGTGGTGACCAGGTGATTTGGGCACCCAGGAGCACGTGACCGTTTGTTCAAGCATGTTCGATTGGGAATAAAGGAGGAACGCTGCATCGCAGCCTTTTCGGACCAAAACCAGTCGACGCAGCGTCCAAAAGACTACAACATATGGGCCAATCGCGGTCATCCGTGCTTTTATAAGAACGAAATGGCGCTTTTAGTGACATTTTGCATACAAATCCCCATCTAGTAGGGCGCAGTCACCCAGTTTCGGTGGAAGTGCGCGAGTTCGATTGGGATTCAAGTAGGAAGGGAGCGTCTCAGCTTTCTCGGAACAAGACCATTCGACTCAGCACCCCGAAGACTACAACTGGTGAAATTTGGTGAATTTCAAGCTTGGAAACAGCAGCTGCACTAAGACCACACCATGCTATGTCAGCTTAATCAAACGAGAGAGCTTGGAAGCTCAGGGCCCTACGCCGCTATGCGTTTTTGCCTTGATGACCTAGGCAAAAAAGCATAAAATAATATGAAATTTTTCATTTCTCCTATTTTTCAGACATAACCTGGGATTCAAACCCGCACTATCGCCCTGCATGCATCACCCGATACACTTCGCATACATACTAATTCTTCCAAGTTGCTTCACGTTATGATCTTGCATTCGAAAGCCCTATTTGAATATCGTGGCCAGCTGTTTCTGGCCAGCTGTTTTTGATGGTACGGGACGGGACAGATACGGTCGAGGGTAATACGACACCGTCTACCACCTTGATGACCTAGGCAAAAAAAAGCATAGGGATGTTTTCAATTCTCCAATTTTTTAGGCATAACCTGGGATTCGAACCCGCGCTATCGCCCTACATGCATTCCCCAATAAACTTCGCTTTCATATTCATTCTTCCAAGTTGCTTCACGTTATGATCTTGCATTTGAAAGCCCTATTTGAATATTGTGGCCAGCTGTTTGTGGCCAACTGTGTTCGATGGTATGGTACGGTACGGGACAGATACGGGATAGCGCCAGGCGTGACGCAAACACACAAACAAACAAATACCAAATTAAAGCTGTGTGGACCCTGGCTAGCGCCAGACGTTACTGAAGTAACGTCTTCTGCATAGTTACGGGAATAAAGGCAGAATATAGCATCGGTAGAATAGAATCTTGCAACTGTTTGGGAGATGGGAGATGGGAAAATGAGAGAGCAAGGCTCCAAGAGCAGAGCTGGTACGACAACGCACAGAAATCATATGTTCTGACCACGAAAGAGCAGAATCAATCACTACTCCTAGGTGTTTGTGACCACTCACCATCTCAATAGGCTGGGGAGATCCTGGGAAATACAACGCAATTTTATCTGCCAACGCACAGCCGATGATAAGGGCCTTGGTTTTGTTGAGATTGGGGGATAGGTGCCAGCGACGCATCCAGGACACGACCTTTTCTATGTCCAGCTGTAGAGATAGGTGAAGTTGCTGAAGTGATGCTTCGAATTTCATGAGTGCAGTGTCATCAGCATACAAGGAAGTATCAGGTACATCACTAGGCAAATCATTGATATATAAAATGAATAACAGAGGGCCTAATATCGAGCCCGGGCACTCCCGAAAGAACAGGTCGGGGGTTGGAGAGTGTTTCTGCTGTCTTCTCTCTTTCCCATGAGCCTCCGGATGCTGGAATATTATCTGCACAGTCGTTGTCGTTTGACAATCTACGTTCTCTCTCTCTCCCTCTCCCTCTCCTCTCCATCCTCTCTCCCCCCTCTCGTTTCTCTCTCTCTCTCTCTCTCTCTCTCTTTGTTTCTCTCCCTCTTCCTCTCTCTTTTGCTTTGTGTTTCTCTAGGGCACTTCACATTCCCTTGTGGTACAAACACATCCACAAGGTCCACCACGAGTGGACCGCACCAATCAGCATTTCTGGGCTGTACTGTCACCCGGTCGAGCATGTCATCGCCAACATATTGCCGGTAATGGCTGGTCCCGCCCTGCTCGGCTCTCACTGTATGCTGCTGCTGCTGTGGGCCTGTATCTCGCTGGCCTCCGTGTCCGTCGCACACTGTGGGGCGGCTTCCACCTGCCGTTCATGCCGTCCAACGAGTACCACGACTACCATCATGCAAAGTTAGTAGTGTAGTGTGTGCATTCTGCATTGATTGGTAGCTGTACTAATACCTTGCACATACATGGGAGGCGGTGAACGCAACAATCTGACTTGAGCCCCCCCCCCCCCCCCCACTGTACCCCTAAAAGGAAATACTCCCCCCCCCCCCCAAAAAAAACACTTCTGGCTGCATATATAAAAAACCACGTGCACAGAGAAGAATATTACTCCCTCAGTCCCTGCCCCCCCCCCCCCCAACAACAGAAAAGAAATACTCCCTGTTTCCAGCAGTCCACTTGCATACCAGTGTCATGGTTGTTGTCTCTTCTGACCATGAATGTTCCTATAGGTATTGTCTGATTCTGATCCAATGCACTACAATGCCCTCAGTTTGGTGAGTCTGCCATTCGATGATGCCGAGACCTCTGGTCAGTTGAGCCTGGCAGGCCCGGCCTACCAGCACCGTCTCACTGGTGACTCCATGCTAGCCTCATGTGCCTGGCGGTGAGTTTGTGTACCTCGTAAAAAAACTGATATTTTTTTTATGTTGGCTGCTGCTACGCAGGTTCAACCAGAACTTTGGCATGCTGGGGATCTTTGATTTTCTGTATGGCACGGACAGTCGCTTCCGTAAATCAAAGTCGTACGAGCGCCATTCCATGCTACTTGGCACCACCCCAGCCAACGTTCTGATTCCGGACGAACCGAAGAAATGCCAGTAAAAAGGTCAAGTCGGCAGTGCATGTGCGTGTGTGCACCCTCACTGCTGTTGCTAGTCTCCTCACAGTCCACCCTTGACCGTCCCATCCTCCAGTTTCAATGCTAGTATTGTCACTACTCTACATGTACGTGTATTGTAGCATACCCACCATCAATGCTAGTCACATGGCAAATTCCACTTAGGTACCGTGACTACTTCAGGCATGCCTTTGATATTATTGTTTTTATTCACATAGCTATGGGTTTTTTTGTGGCAAATTCACTAGTGCCCTAGCTCGGCCCAATCTGTGTTCTATCATGGGTGGTTAAATAACGACATCGCATTGTTCAATCTTCCAGTCCTATCAGTGACAACTCTCATATCCAATGTGCATTGTTTCCGACGGCCATCACCAAGAAGTTATGTTCTCTTTCTCACCTAGGGCCGTTCACAATTTGTTTTCCATTTCAATTTCCGCCCTTTCCACCATCCTGGAAGCATGGAGAGGGACAGTACCGGTATTATGAATATTTTTAAGTTACAAGCAGGGCATTGGCTATGTCATCACTCATCAGTACTACTTTCCAGCTGTACTGCTATGACATCACTACTACTTTCCAGCTGTCCTGCTATGACATCACTACTACTTGCTCCCAAGTCACTCTGTTTTCTGTACCCGACTACCGGTACTTAATTGTGTCACTATTCAAGGTACTTTATACTTGAAGTACTACGCTTACTTCATACAAAGTTTTGCAGTATGAAGCCTGAAATCACATGCAGTCTAGGCGTGCCTGTACGATACCGGCATGCTGACACTGCAACTTGCTGTTGGCACCACCCCCCCCCCCCCCTTGAACACTGTATGCCACTGCGCTCGTGGCAAATCCAAACTACACTAGTATCTGCTCATCCAAATCCAGAGGGCTCAGATACCCCCCCCCCCCCCCCCCCAAACGCACGTTACCATACTCTTGTGACTGCCCATGAGCACGGCCAGTGATCTCTGGGGGTATTTCCACAGAATCAGGGTCCGTGACTTTTGCCACCTCCATTTATCTACAATTCAATGTGCTGTCGTGGACTATGAAATCCGTTGAAGAGTCAAGCGGCCACTGGGCACTGGCCTTGCAGTCGTGAGCACTGCTGGTCCATTTTTACAGTGTGCACATAATCTATAGTGTGTGTACGTGCAAACAGAAGTAAGGGTGCTGGTCCCGGTCATCCCATCTGATTTCAATGTTCACAACAATACATTGTAGATCTTAACCATGGTAAATTTGATCATTACAACATTGCAGACTGCAGTGCATATTACTGATGGTAACTGTTGCAACTTACACTTAGTGACTGCATGCTTGTGGCACACGACAGTCACAAGCAACACGAGGAGTAATTATGGTTGGTAGTTATCATTACGAAGGTAAACAAGAGAATGGCCCGAGCATGCCCAGAGCAACCAGGTAAGGGCCAGCAGCCATGATGAGAGAATACCGTAGACATGCGCGAATGGAGATAATGTCGTACGAAGAAGCAGCGAGAGAGAAGAATGCAGCGACGGCATGTAAATGCAGTCTATAACAGTAACATAATGCAAAATACTGGCAGAGGTAGGATCCCGGTCATGAGCTTGGGATGAATGGGCACACTCTAGTTTGGCATGTTGTCCCGCTGAGTATGTATATACACACATAACAAACACACACACACGTGCATGCACATCCATGCCCCCCCCCCCCACACACATACATACACAAACACACGCACACAAACACGTGTGCATGTGCGCACGCACGTACACACAAACACATTGAACCTGGGACACATTGCCATGTTCAGGCAGGATAGGTCCTGTGGTCTACTGAAAAGCCGGCCACAATTGGAAACGTGGAAGGGCTGAAGTCTGTGTGCTCGGGTCGAGCCATGGCTACATTCATGATGATTTTATGACTTGGCATGATAGCACACAACGGGTATTTCTTGCTTGTCACATGAATGTTAGCAGTGCTGCTAGATTTCAATACTGGAGTAAAATATGATGTGTATCTCAAGGGTAACAGCATGCACTTTTGTATGTACAGGGTATGGCTGACACTGCAATGGCAATATACATTGCAGTATAAACATTTGTAGAGTAGAGTTTTGCAGGTTTAACTGACATAGCGGTAACTATTCTGTACAGTGACTAGTGTAAAAACAGTAGGTGAGAGTAGACATGAACACATTCAGTAAAACTGATACCACAGTAGACTGGACTAGACAGTACATGTAGTTCAGTTGATCATTATATCTACATAGTAACACAACACTGTGTGTGTCATAGACAATCTGTATACATCATGTCTATACAAGTGATGTCACAGTGTTGTGATCAATGACAGGTAGTGTGCTGTTGGAGTATCTCTTACTGCAGTAGCTGCTTGAAATGATCCCTGTCCAGTGCTGGTCACTTTCACCAATCTCAACTGCTAAACACTATCCAGTAGAGATCTTCAGAAGCTCACCTAGCCCTGTAGAATGTACAACGGCGAGAGTGCACATACACATGCACACACACCACACACACACACACGCACACACACGCACACACCCAAACACACGCCACCACACCCACACACATCCCAAACAACACACACAGGAAGAATCAACCATTTACTTGAAGCTCTGGATATAGAATTCGTCTTATGGATTGCATGTGTTGATGATATAATTAAGAATGAAGTCATTGTTATAATAATCATTTCTCATAATGACATCATGACTGGAATCTACAGGCAGTGATACACATTCTGAATAACATCAAGCTGTAAAACAGGTGACCGTCTAGCAGGATACGTTGCACACATACTACAGAAGCGACATTCCCTGCTAGGGATTTCCTGACACATTGTACCATTTGTTTTCCCCACGTACACCCCCCCCCCCCCCCACATACCCACCTCTTGTCCACACTCACCCACATCCACACCCCTTGTCCCTCGAAAACACACACACCCCTTGTCCCTCATAAACACCCCCCTCCCCACACACACACACATACATGCCCCTTGTCCCTCACAAACACACACACACACACACACACACACCTTGTGACGCTTGTCCACGCACACACACACCTTGTGACGCTTGTCCACGCACACGCCCCTTGTCCCTCACAAACACACTCACAACCCCACAAGTATACACAGAAGCAAGCACACCCGCCTCCACGCACACACACGTACTAAGTCTTGTTGCTCACTGCCAAAACTGGTCACGTGAGTCTCCCCGGGAGAAGGGAGAGAGACTCAGGCTGCGTTTACACGACAACGCACGGCCAGTTTTCCGTTTTCAGTCCCGCATTTCTTCTTTCGTTTTCGTGCGTTTACATGATCAAAGCTGATCCGAGGTGGTCTCCGTTTGTATCGTTTTCGAGCGTCTACACGAGCAAAGGATCCGCAAAAGTTCGTCATGTGCCAAGTGTTGTCGTGGAAGCACCAATCACACTCAAGGAATAGTTGAAAACAGGCCACAAAACAACACTCGTCACATGACGAAAATTGTAAAAACAATTTTTTGGATTGCCGGATATCCGGATCCGTGTGAACAGCCGAAAACGAAACAAGCGTGACGGAAAACGAGGCCAGCATACTGTTTCGACTGTTTACACACTCAAATTTATCCGGCAGAACATTTCCGTTTTCAAATTCTTCCACCTTGGCCAGCGTTTTGGTTTTCTTCCGTTTTGGTGTACAACTTTTACATTTTGCTTTTCGTACCGTGTAAATGAACCATGCATCCGAAAGGATTTTGTTGCGTTTTCACCCCCAGCGTTGTCGTGTACACGCAGCCTCAAAAGGAATCTTGGAAAGAGGAATCAATTGGCTATTTGAACTGCTCAATGGCAGACACCCCCTGAAACCCCCAAAACTCTGGGTGCACTTGGAAAATGCCTCATTTCTCGTTGGCGGACGTAGGAAAGAAGCGCGAAATGTAGTTCTTTTTTGTCTTACTTTTGCATGACGTAACATTTGCTGCTCGCAAATGCGAGATATTAGGAGCATGCGCTCCGGCTGCGGCACTCTTTTTCTTCTTGCTTTGCAAGTGTAGTGCCCATGCCCGCCCGCCCTAGTGAATGGTTATCTTGTTGAGTCGTTTGGATATTTCCGGTGTGCTCAGATTGCAGACGGCAATAATCTTGATGATCTAGTTGAGTTGCTTTAAGCTGTTTATTATTGTCGCCGTTACTCGGTTGACAATATATTTGCTTGCTGTTGCTGCTGTCCCCGCAGAGGCTGTTTGTTGTTGCTGTGTGCGTGTGTATGTGTGTGTGTATGTGAGTGAGGTGTGTTAGGGGTGGGAGCATGTATGGTGTGGCTGCACACAGGAGTGAGAAAGAGAGTAAAAAAGAATGATCCCACTTATGGGCTCACCACACCTCAGTAAGTGGGTGAGGCCAAGGCGCAGAAAAAGGATTGATGGCATCAGGGTATCCGTCCCGGGATCCAACACACACACACACACACACAGACTCCGGGTCGCTAATCCTCATACTTCGAAGTATATACAAACAAGCAGTTCATGTGTTTCTCATTGAGCGAGACGAAGACGAGAAGAGGCATGAGGGTTTGTGACGGGATAAGTGACTTTGCCTTTTGAATCGACTCTGGCAATTGCGACATTTTATTGGAACTTGTCTGTTTAGCTGGTCACAGGTTGACACAGTGCAAGACCAATTTGAGTGGCAGCAGGCTATGTTGAATGAATACGACCAGCTTACAAACTGGCCAGGGAGATAGGCAGTGAAGTGAGCAAGCGCGTATTCGCTCGACAAAAAAGATATCGCCAACACCAGTGCCCATACATGCAGCCACACACGCGCACACACACACACACACACACACACACACACACACACACACACACACACACACGCACGGGTGTAAGTGCTCTCAAGCACATACACACACTGAAAGACTCCCGCCTGTTCTATCAACCCATCGTTACAATGTCACATTGGACCCAGAATGGGTCATACAGAGGGACAGTAGGAATATACTGTGTGGGATCCTACAGAAAATCAAAGGTCTTGTGTGAGCACCCCCCCCCCCCCCCCCCCCCCCCTCCGCCTCCGCCTCCTGCCATGGACTCATCGGTAGTTCACGTAATACTGAGCACTACCATACAAGTACAGCCCCCCATGCACATACACACATACACACACATACACACACATACAACCCCCATCCCCCCCCCCCCCACCCACACATACGCACCCCCCCCCCCCCACACACACAGACATATCCGCACCCCCCCCCCCCCCCCTGCTGGTCCTGCGATGGACTCTCGGCAGTTCACTCGAAGGGCCCGTAGGACAGTCAGGTAATTCACCTGCTGATGGTGCTGCATGGCGGTCGTCGCTGCACCGCGCTCCCAGTAGGGTCCGGCCTGCTGGCGGTGAGCGGCAATACGGATCCAAGTAGAGCGAGGAGAGGCTGGGTGGCATTGTCGACGGCAGTGGATGCGGCACGTTGAACTTCCAACCGAAAATCAAAGTCCACGAACTCACCTCTCTAGATCTCTGGATACAGATTACGATCGTCAGGCTCGCGCCTGCTGTTGCAGTGTTGGTGCTGCGTGGCGGCCATCGCTGCGTTCCCAGTAGGCGGGCGGCGGAGCCAGGTAGAGTGAGGAGCTCCGGAGAGGCTGAATGCCGGTAGGTGACGACGACATTGTTTCAAGGTACAAACAAGGGTCGCTGAGATCGGAATTTGAAGCGTGGAGGTACTTCAGGAAACTTGATGCTGGCGCAAGCTAAAAGTCCACAGTCGACGGTCCACTGTAGACGACGACATTGTTTCAGGCACCAACAAGCGTTATTGAAGTCTGAATTTGAAGCGTAGAGATACGAGAATGCAAGCTTGAAAGTCTAAACAGAAGGAATTTGTTTAGGAACAGATGTTCTGCAAGTTGCACGCTCGAAAGTCAAAACAGCAATGACATGCAAGAGACATTGTACAGGATCTTGAAGGGCGCGTGCCCACGTGATTCGCGCATGCGCGCAGGTCGGGCCAGCTCGCTGGGCTGGCTGCTAATTCGCGATAGCATGCTAATGCTCATATGTTGCAGTGTAACACAAGATCAAGAATGGGAAGTAAAAATAGGCAGTTCGAAAATAAGTCGTGATGATGTTACAGATGATTAAAAGTTTGGTTCGCACACCTCCCCTCCAACTCCCCCCCCCCCCCCCAAAACCCACACACCTACCCCCCACCCCCAACACACACATCCCACCTCCCCCCCCCCCCCCCACACACACACATCCCCCTAGCAAGGCACTAATACACCAGTTTATCACACAGCACTCGAAATCTGTCATGTGAGTCGATCTTGACACTCCAACTTACTGTGGTATGCGATGTCTGAGTACTACCAGCATAGTACAGTGTTGGTTGTGTTCACTTAGGTGTTCACCAGTTTGACGATGTTTGCCACACAGGTAAGCCATGCCACAACGAGGACATGGCTCGATGTTGTCCAGGTCATAGCAGACAAAACATGCCGCTACACGTGGACACCATTCCTGTAGTGCAATGTGGTGATCAATGCTCACACGGCCTCTCTTGGATTGACGATGCAGGGCAGCAATGAGAGAGTTATGTAGTAGAGTATCGTCTCCAGCTTGTGGTGGTAAGTACACAATTCCAGACACTGAGAGACCAGTTGCACAATTGCTTGGCAGGTAAGCACTGAGATCATTAACCAATGACTTCAACGCTGGGAAGAGTTTGGAACTAACATCAGTCGCGAAGACAGTATTCTACAACAAAGCACACAACAAAGAACAGTGTAGAAAAGAAAGTAACTGAGGCCAGTACACTCAAAACAGAGAACATCATGCACAATAATAACAAATCAGACTGATATAGCGGAAAGCTACACATTCCATTTCACTAGTTGACAATGTTCAAAATTATCACATTCCCCTCTGTGTTCTTCAAGAAATCAACCTTAGAGAGACAGACACTATACAGTAGATAATTACTGAGTACACTGGTTTGCAATACAATGTTCCATTCAGAGTGGAATGTGGATGAAAAACAGTTATGGTATCCTGAATTGTGTACACTGCACTACCAGCTTACCTCAATGCTGAGCAGTGTTCTAGCTGTCAGAATACAAGACTGCATCACTTCCAGATCAGGTATCTTGTTCTGGCTACAGTTGTTAATCAGTGCTGTTGTGTGATCTGCTGGATTTGAGCCATTACACCATCTCCTGACATAGTCCATCACAATGTTGAAGGGATGCTGTGCTGGTAGAGTGAGACCAGTTGGAGTTGTGTGTGTCCTTCCATTTACTACCAAGGAACTGTGCCGGTAGCTGTACACATCATTCCAGTACATTGCCAGTAGTGTGGACACTGTGTCATTATCCATGGAGTACAGGTAGCGTTGTATCCGATTAGCAGACACAGTGGTATAGTCGCCATGGACATTGACCTCGCGACTGATAGCAGTTGGTACGTGTTTCCACTTGCACAGTGGTATACCCAGTGTTGTAATCAATGATGGTGAAATAATCCACTCACTGCTACAAGAACTTGACATAACCTTGCCCAGGATCACAGCGATGCATTGTAGCAGAAAACCGTACATTCCAGTACATGAAGGGACTGCACCATCCTGTGATAGGAAGCGTGATGACATCACTCTCCCAGCAAGGTCTTCTACCACCTGTACATTGGGCATATCCTTGTTTAGCAGAGTGGAACAATACAGTTGAATGAGTTTCAAGGCACATTCAGTGACACCTGTTGCAAGACCCATTCTCAGTGTTGTTGTAACACGCTGGTACACCACCTGAAGACGGGATAGTGTTTCCTGGCTGGGCTCAAGCTGTCCTTCCCTGAAGTCGATGTCC